GAACACTACTCAGCCATCAAAAAGAATGAAATCTTGCCATTTGCACCAACATGGAAAGAACTAGAGGGTATTATGCTAATGGAAATAAGTCCATCAGAGAAAGACAAATACCATATGATTTCACTCATATGTGGAATTTAAGAAACAAAACAGAGGAACATGGTGAAGGGAAGGAAAAATTAACATAAGATAAAAATAGAGAAGGAGGCAAACCATAAGAGATGTTGAACTCTAGGAAACAGGGCTGCTGGAAGGGAGGTGGGAGGGGGGAAGGGATAATTGGCTGATGGGCATTAAGGAGGGCACTTGATATAATGAGCACTGGGTGTTATACCCAACTGGTGAATCACTAAATTCTACCCCTGAAACTAGTAATACAGCTTATGTTAACTAAATTGAACGTAAATAAAGAATTACAAAATAAATAAACAAACAAACATGGTTTAAAGCAAAAAAAAAAAATAGTCATCGTCATCATCAGAATCTCACAGTCCTTAGCTACCCAGTAGAGGACAACAAGCAGCCATTCTCACCCCGAGTCAATCCGGACTTAACTCTGAACTATTTCCATATCATTTCCAACATATCTATTCTTTCTGCTTCTGATGCATTTTGCTGCTAACTTGAATTCTAGAAAATTGTTTGTTTTGATTAAAAACAACGATGAGGGGCGCCTGGGTGGCTCAGTCGTTAGGTGTCTGCCTTTGACTCAGGTCATGATCCCAGGGTCCTGGGATCGAGCCCTGCGTCAGGCTCCCGCCTGCTCCGCGGGAAGCCTGCTTCTCCCTCTCCCACTCCCCCTGCTTGTGTTCCCTCTCTCGCTCTGTCTCTCTCTGTCAAATAGATAAATAAAATCTTTAAAAAATAAATAAAAATAAATAATTTTTTTTTAAAAAACGACGATGAATGAACAACTAAGAGATTCTGGACTAAACACATTCTATTTGACAATTTAGGTCATACTTTGCTATTGGCCAAGTTATAATTTAGTTTCATAGATGGGCATTGACTCTTTCAGACTTAGAGGTACATGGGACATCAGCCCATCTATGCTGTGATAAGAGGTGGGGCTTTTACTGGTAACCAAGGGGTAAGGGTTGGAGCCTCAGTGCTCATGTGTTTTCATGTGAATATGTAATTGGGAGCAGTGGGAGGATTACTGGACATATTGCTTATTCTTGGGAGAACATGTTAACCGAGGCTAATATCTCACTTCTGCTTAAAACCCCTCAAAATGTCTTCAATGAGCATGGAATACATTAAGAATAAGAAAAAACAACCAAGGAACTATTTTTTAAAAATATCTTTTACTGGCTCCTCATGGCCTATAGGATGAACTACAAGTGCCTGAGCATGAATCTGACCCTGACCTTTATATATATGCACTTAGAGCCTCATCTCTTGCTGTGTCCTGCCTTCAACCCTCAGCTACTGCAATGTTCATCATGTTCTTTCTTATCTCCTTCTTTTTTAATTGTTATGTTAATCACCATACATTACATCATTAGTTTTTGATGTAGTGTTCCATGATTCATTGTTTGCGTATAACACCCAGTGCTCCATGCAGAACGTGCCCTCTTTAATTCCCGTTACCAGACTAACCCATCCCCCCACCAACCTCCCCTCTAGAACCCTCAGTTTGTTTCTCAGAGTCCATAGTCTCTCATGGTTCATCTCCCGCTCCGATTTTCCCCCCTTCATTTTTCCTTTCCTGCTATCTTTTTTTTTTTTAACATATAATGTATCTGTTGAATCGCAGACCTGTACCCCTGAAACAAATAATACTTATTTCCTTCTTTTTGTGTGCAGTGTCTCCTCTATGCCTGATACTCATTCTACCCTCTTTTGGCTTCAAGTCCCTTATCCACACCTCACCCAACTCCACGCTGGATCAGGGGCCTCTCTCTGCTGTGTTTCCATAAACTCTGAACATTGCACCTCCTCCCATGCATTATTGTTCTTGTGCGTCTGTTCCCCTCACTAGACTCTATCTTCAACACTAGACACATAAAAGACAACCAATGTAAGTTTGTTGGATAAAATGAGTATTTCAGGGCATACTAGAGTTAGAAAATAATTTTAAGTAACCCAAAAACTGTAATAATCTAATGTAGTATCTACTTACTACCAGAAATGTCCATTAGGGCATTTCTGGTAGTAATGGAATGTAGAGGAAATGGAAGAGTAATGGAAAGTAGAACAATTTTGCAAATAGGTATATATAAATATGAACAGATTCTTTGAATTCTGCTATTAGTTTTAATAAATTGTTGGAATTGTTGGTTCCTATAGTAAATTTTTGAGGGATATACCAACTGGGGCTATTTGGTGTTTAATATTTTGTTTGCTTTCTAATGCCACATCAGTGGAGATACTGTGTACTTGCTTCAGTAAACTGATTCTGAGTGTCTTATTCCTTTATGTTCATGAGATGCACATAAGTGCACTTAATAGGGGCGCCTGGTGGCTCAGTCACTTAAGTGGCCAACTCTTGCTTTCGGCTCAGGTCATGATCTCAGGGTTGTGGGATCGAGCCCCACATGGGGCTCCATGCTCAGTAGGAGTCTGCTTCTCTCCCTCTCCCTCTGCCCCTCCCCTCCCTCACACACACACACACTCTCTCTCTCTCAAATAAATAAATAAATCTTTAAAAAAAATAAGTACACTTAATAGATGCTTCTTTCAGTGCTTGATAAGAATGTTATTTTACAAGTCTGAGTTTCCAGGGTAAATCCTATTTATGGTATTAGAGCTTTATTCTCTTCTAGCTAATATAATAAAGTTTAAATTAGAACTATAAGTAAAACTTTTAGGGGTGCCTGGGTGGCTCAGTTGGGTAAGTGTTTGACTCTTGATTTCGGCTCAGGTCATGATTTCAGGGTTTTGAGATGGAGGCCCACTGAGCATGGAGCCTGCTTAAGAGTCTCTCCCTCTCCCTCTGCCCTCTGCCCCTCCTCCTTCTCTCTCTCCCCCATCCAATAAATAAATAAATAAATAAATAAAACATACATATATAAATCAGATTCAAGAATAAATAAATATAGAATATGAGACCTTAAGGTACTATAGACCGTTTAACTTTTCCTTTTACAGATAAGGAACTAATGCCCCCAAGGGTTAATTATCATTCCCTGAAAGCATCAGGTTAAGGCTCTTACTTCAAGGTGAATGTGAATTTTAAAGCAAGAGGAAGCGTATTAAGACTTTACAGGTTTCGGGGTGCCTGGGTGACTCAGTCGTTGGGTGTCTGCCTTCGGCTCAGGTCATGGTCCCAGAGTCCTGGGATTGAAAACCTAGTTGGGCTCCCTGCTCTGTGGGAAGCCTGCTTCTCCCTCTCCCACTCCCCCTGCACTCTCTCGCTGTGTCTCTCTCTATCAAATAAATAAAATCTTAAAAAAAAAAAAAAAAGACTTTACGGGTTTCAAGGAAGAAACCCACCCATGCAATCTTGAGTAACGGAGCTTATTCCTGAAGTTAAAGCAGTGCCCAGAGGCTTTACCATTGTGCCTAGCATTTCTGTTGCCCCCGCTGTCCTACGCTTGCTCCTCGCATCTCTAGACAATGAGACTCCGATTGGGTTAGTGATTTGGTTACCAACCACTAAGGAGCATTCCTGCTGGGAAACCTGTGGCACAGACGTTAATATTGGATCCTATTAGTTTTAGTCAAAGTAAGACAGTTGTTTTGGGTCAATATGTAAGGCTTTGTAAACTGTATAGCGGGCTTACGCAGGAAGAATTCCCTAAACTTCAGGAAGGGAAGGAAAGCAGGACTTCAGGGAGGTGCCGGCCCTTTGTGCTTCCTGGACCTTACCAGTGTGGGGAGTAAAAGACATTTGTATGTATAAATATGGAATGGGAAAGGGGAACTAAATCACAGCTAAGCTCAAATTGAGTTAGTTTGCAAATGGAAAGAGTGGTAAACGTTCTGCCCTTAAGAAACGACCCACAAATACTACGGCTTTTGGGCAAATCAACCAATACTATCAACCTCTGTTTTGCTGCTGCTGCTGCTGATGATGATACATATTTACCTTGCCTAGTAGTTGTGCATACCAGTGATAATGTGTGTTAAATGACCATCACTATGTAGGGGCTGCAGGTAAGATAACTGTTATGATTATTACTACTACAAGACTGCAACTGTGCTGTAGTTATTTGTACTACCCTAGTACATAAAAGTACTTTTACTGCTGCGTTGTTACATGCCAGTGGTTTGTAAATGAGAGGTCTTCTCTGCTCAGACAACAGGAGAGAGGGCTTTGCAAGTGATTTGCAAGAAGGTATAGAAATTCTTTCTCGGTGTGCAGTGGTTAAGATCATGGGCTTTATGGGGTTACTACGTACTTCTTAGCTGTGAGATCTTAGACAAGTTACTTAACCTTGTGTGCCTCAATGATCTCATCTGTAAAATGGGGATAATAATACCTCCTGTCACAACAAGCTCTTGTGAGGATTAAATGAGATAACCTAAGTACTGCTTAGAATACTGTCCAGCATGCAATGAACACTTAATACACGTTCTCTATTGGGCTCTTAATGTATTAAATGTGCATTGGATCCTCATAACAACCTCGTGAGATAACAGGCCTCATTATCTTTATTTCACGTTCACCGAGACTGAGGCTGTGATTTGTTGTGAGTGGCAGTGGCGGGGGTGCTGAAGGAGCTTCTCTCCCTTCTTACCTTCTTTTCTTTCCTCGCTCTCTTTGACATATATTTATCTATTGGACTGGAATCACACACAATAATTCCTGCCTAGATGATTGGAATTTCGGACATCTGATTCCTTTTTCCTTTTCTTTCCCCTACAGCCCTACCTCCACGCTCGTGGAGCACTTACACTCTTGTCTTTTGCTACTAGTCTCTAACTACTACCTGTCATTTCCAAAGTCCCAGGTTTGCATTTGAATCTTCATACTTGAGAAATCAATGGGGTCAAGGAAACAAGAACCAGTGTTTACATAAGTGTTTATTGGACTTTTCTTTCTCATCTTTCAGGTCTTGTAGAAATTTGCCTGATGCACCCCCTCGATGTGGTGAAAACCAGGTAAGGTTCTGCATGAACAAGTCTTATTGACTTTGGATGATATCCAAATTAAGATCTGTCAGAACACTAAATGCTAGAACTTGCCCTAGGCCGGTAGCTTCTCCCAATAATGGCATTTATATTTACTTCTGAAAGAAAATGCTATTTGACAGATAAAATGTGAACAGGGAAAAAGCATTTTTGGATAGAGGTCATCTGAAAGTATATGGTATTTTACTGCCTTCACGTGACAACCATAAGATATGATTTGTGGCAAAGCTGGTAAGCAAAGTAAATTTATTAAAATGATGCAAAAACTAAACTTTAGTGAATTATGACGGTAGACTTTCATTTGGCATTGCATGTAACAGATTGCTATTTAATAGTCAGCATTTTGGTGTGAGACTCCAAACTTTCAAGTAAACTCCTCAAATGGTGCTTAAAGAATTTATTCCTACAACTATTTGCCAATGCAAAATGCCGTATTTCTAGGAAAATGCATTTGCTCTTACAGAGAGACACAAATCAGGGCAATGTTTTAAAACTATTTACAGAGTGGAAAAAAAATCATGTGGGTTTTAATATGATCTAGAGCATTTTTTTAAAAAGTTAAATATGTGGCTGAATTACTGAACTCTCTATTTTCTAAAATTAGAAGCTGTTACAGTTGAGTGAAAGTTTCCATTTCTTTGCCTTGTGTAAAACCCAAGAACACCATACCTGGGTTGGCGCTCCATAGCAAACAGTGCCTTACAACAATGGTGGTGGAACAAACCAAAGTTAGAAAATGCTTAAAGCATCAGGCTAATCATTGAATGGACATGTTGCTTAATTTACCTAAAGAGGCAGCAGAATCTTCAGCTGGCTGCTGAAAGCAAAGGAAAGTAGCTGTATCATGCAAATAATATTACATTTCTAAAGGAGATAGAGGAGCTGAGAATTTGGCCCCTGTCTTAGCTCAGGCAACTGTAACAAAATACTATAGACTGGGTGGCTTAAGCAGCAGACATTTATTATTGTTCTGGAGGCTGGGAAGTCAAGGATCAAAGTAGTGGTCATTTTGGTTCTTGGTGAGGGCCAACTACCCGGCTTGTAAACAGCCACCTTCTTGTTGTATCTTCACATGAGGGAAAGAGGCAGCTCTGCTGTCTCTCCCTCTACTTATAAGAGCATTGATCCCATCACTGGGGCTCCACCTCAATCTAACCTCATGACATCATCTAAACCTAACTACCTCCCCAAAGGCCCCACCTCCAAATACCATCACACTGGGGTTAGGGCTCCAATATATGAATCTGGGGGGATGCAAATGTTCAGTCCATAACAGCCTCAAATCACCAAACCCACACGGAGAAAGAAAACCACAAATTATATTCAAATGTAAAATTACATGCATTCCCTGGACCATCTTTTTATAGGGTTCAAAACAGAACGCAAAACTCTCTGGCATTTCCTTCTTAGATTCCATGCTAACCTTTAAAAAGCCAGAATATTGTTGCTAGCCTCTCTAAGGAATAAACTGTCTCTCTTAAGGGTAATTTCCTAAATTAGCAAAGTGTTCAAGTGAGCATACAGGAGAAATAAGAATGATTTAAATAAGACATGATATTGAAATTACAGTTATTCATTCATTCACTTAATCATTCATTCATTCACTTATTAAGTATCTAGTGTGTGTGAGTTCCAAGCAAGCTCTGTCCTCAGGAGCTCACAGTCTGATGAGTTAATATAAATTTCAAAAACTATATTATTTCATGGTACTGGATTTGAATAGAATATTTCTTGAAATGGATGTGCCAAGTTACTGGGGCTTTATATCTTCTTTGTTACATAGATATTTTCATGAAAATGGCATTCATTGATTGGAATTAGTCACATGCTCTTGTCTAACTTCAGCAGGGAGGGAAAATATAATTCTTCCAGATGCCCTGAAGAAGGGAACTGGATATGGGATGACTTTTGACCTGGTTAACAATAAAAAGCATGTTGAATAAAGACTCACAATCATAGAGTAAACGAAAGTCCAAAATAATATGCAACTGACTTTGCAACAGAAGTAGAATGTGCAAAGGTTAGGAGCATTTATCACTGGGTACTTACACACAGGTGATAGGTAGTGGACAGGACAGACTAGATGCTGAAATCTTTTCACTATTACATTGGACAGGAGATGACTATATTTCTAAATGAGATAAACTAAACTGTAAGAGATAATACATGAAACCATGTAACATTAGTTATTTCAGCAGGTCACTTTCCTTAATGACATCAAGGGCACTGGATTCTAAATTGTTGCCAGCATTGTCAAAGTGGGGGACAGTGTATACCAGACCAAACCTCACTTCCTTCGCAGTTTCTTTGTGGGCTGCTTTTGCCTTCCCTTGGATGTTATTACTTGAAGGGTAGTACAGTGACTGAATCTGAGTATGGAAATGGTTCATTTTCAACAATATCTCATGTGCTGAAGTATATAGCAAAATAAGTGTTTACTTCTTAGAGTTTAGTTTTTTCTTTTTGGGTTCTATTTGTGGCCTAATTCTCTTCTTTGTTGAATGAAAGATAACAGATCCTAAAAATGCATTTCCAAAGTCATCCTTTACAGGGATCTCTTTCTTTCTTTTTTAACTTTGTAAATCTTTCTTTCTTTTTTAACTTTGTAATGATCAATTCTCTTACCCCAGGCTGAGGGCAAAGGGAGGTTGTGGTGTGACCTGAGCCCAAGGGTCAAGGTTACCTGGTGGAAGCTAGAACTGTAGTAGATCTGTGTAGTGGTAGCTGGAGCCTCAACCATTGCCATGTTCACTGCCCAAGGCAGACAGGGAGGGAGAAAAATCCTTTACTTTCTCCTTTCTCCCCAGTCTTCAGTCTCCCACCAGTGCTTCCATTTGCTGAACCATGGAAGTCAAGAAGCCCAGCCTAGCAGAGGGCAGTCTTTCTGTATAATAAAGCAGAGCAGAATGAGGGAGGAACAAGAAGTGGGTCTGAAGACAAACAGAACCAGGACTGAAAAGCTGTCATTTTAGTGAGGTTTGGAGAAAGATCTGACATAAGCAAGCATTTTCTTTTCTTCCTTTTTTTTTATTGAGATATAATTGACATATCATTATGTTATGTTAGGTGTACAACATAATTTGATATTTGTATATATTGCAAAATGATCACCACAGTAAGTCTAGTTAATATCTGACACCATACATAGTTACAAATTTTTTTCCTGTGATAAGAACTTTCAAGATCTACTCTCTTAGCAACTTTCAAATATGCAATACAGTATTATTAACTGTATCACCATGCTGTGCATGACATCCCAGGGCTTATTTATTTTATAACTGGAAGTTTGTACCTTTTGACCCCCTTCACGTATTTCACCCACCCCCCACCTCCAGGCTCTGGCAACCACCAATCTGTTCTTTTTATCTATAAATTTCATTTCTTTCTTTCTTTTTCTTTTTTTTTCTTTTTCAGATTTCACATGTAAGTGAGATCATATGGTAGTTGTTTTTCTGTCTGACTGATTTCACTTAGCATAATGCCCTCAAGGTCCATCCACGTTGTCGCAAATGGCAGGGTTTCCTTCTTTTTTATGACTAAATAATATCCATTGTATATAGTGTATATTGTATATATATATGTATGTACAAAATATATACATATATATGTATGTACATACACATATATATGCCACATTTTCTTTACCTATTCATCCATTGATGGACACTTACATTTCAAGCATGCATTTTCAACTTAGCAGTTTTAATATGCACTCACTTTGCATTTTAAAAGATGATTAGAAGTTATAATCAATAAATATTTTATGAAAGGATTTCAGGCACTGTGGCACTTGCCTTTATATAAGAAATGGTGTAGTCTGCTTCGTATAAGTGTATCTCCAGGGGTAGACGTAATGTAAGCATAGACTAGCCACATGACAACTGCCTTGTTCCAAATGTGCCCACCTTATTTTATTATTATTATTACTATTATTATGTTATGTTAATCACCATACATTACATCATTAGTTTTTGATGTAGTGTTCCATGATTCATTGTTTGCGTATAACACCCAGTGCTCCATTCAATACGTGCCCTCTTTAATACCCATCACCAAGCTAACCCATCCCCCCACCCCCCTCCCCTCTAGAACCCTCAGTTTGTTTTTCAGAGTCCATCATCTCTCATGGTTCATCTCCCCCTCCAATCTCCCCTCTTCATTCTTCCCTTCCTACTATCTTCTTTTTTTTAACATATAATGTATTATTTGTTTCAGAGGTACAGGTCTGTGATTTTTGCAGCGGAGATTTGGCTAAGATGCTATATACATGGCAGTTATATAGAATCAAGTTGTCCTTTGAGATTCTTCCTAGAAATATGCATATACACTCTTTTATAGTTCTTTTATAGTTTGTATACAAGAAACTGTATACAATTGCGGGTGGACCCTCTGGTTAAGAACACATAACTACAAATGACAAAAAACTCTATGCACTTGTATAACCGGGAAGACCAAAGGTAGTTTCTGGCTTTGTACTCCAGGGATTCAAATAAAATAATCAGTAATATCTCATATCTCTCTCATATCTTCTCTCTCTCTCTCTTTCTCCCTCTCTCCCTTCAGCTTTCCTTTTCCTAAATAGGCTTCATTTGAGGGTGGGGTGCTTCTCTTACTTGGCACCAGATGGCCCCAGCAGCTTCGAGCTTACATGGGCCTTGGCATTTGTGTGTACTCTCTGAGACAGGATAACCTGGTAGTTAAGAACTCCAGCTGTAGAATTACGCAGCCTGGGTTCAAATTCTGCTTCTTCACTTATTATCTGCGTAACATCAGATAAGTTACTAAACTTCCCTGTGCCCAAGTTTCCCAAGCTTTAAATGGGAACAACCATGGCGTCTACATCACTGTGAGAAATAAATGAGTCTATACACGTAGATGGTGTTTATATATACATAGGCTTATAAGGTGTTTTATACTATGTCAGCAAAGGAAAGGGGACTGCAGAGACAAATGGAGTTTGTAAGGTAGTC